TTCAGCTTCACCATTCAAAAGTACTTGCAAGGACAACTCAAGAATAGTATTATTGGATGGTTATCTACTGGATCATTTCTTATCCATGTGTTACTATCATGGGTCTTTGCCAACAAATTACATTGGGGGATTCCTGGAGCAATGAGTGCAATTGTAATAGGTAGTTGGTTGGTGGTATTTGGAGAATTTGTATACATTTTTGGGGGTTGGTGCCCAAAAACATGGAGGGGATTCACTTGGGCTGCTTTTTCTGATCTCTTCCCAATTATAAGGCTCTCAATATCTTCTGGTTTGATGCTCTGGTACATATATACATATATGCATTTTATACATCTATCTTTATTATAATCTCACAGTAGTATATATTTTTATTATAAGATATGCTATAATAAAAGATTGAAATCCACCACAATCGTATACATTCATTTTTTTTTTTTTACTTTTGATTCTTTCTTTCATAACTAATATTTTTTTTTTTTTCTTTTTAAACAGTTTAGAGTTATGGTACAATGCTATTGTAATCCTATTAGCAGGATACACGAAAAATGCTGCAGTCGCCATATCTGCCGTTTCTATATGGTAATATTATATTAAAAACATATGTAGCTTCTGATTTGATTTTAATTCAAACAAGAAGCATAAAAGTTCTCTAAATTATAGTTAGCATTGCAGCCTTAATATCATAGCTTGGGAATTTATGTTATGCCTTGGCTTCCTTATCTCCTCAAGGTATTATTTTCTTCTTTAATTTTCCACGTAACCATATCTTGCCGGAGCTCGAATTTTCTTAATACACATGTCTATACAGTGTTCGAATTTCAAATGAATTAGGAAAAGGAGATGCAGAAGCTGCAAATTTTGCAGCGAAAGTCATAGCATGTACATCAATCTGCATACGAGTGTTCTTCTGTGCTCTTTATCAGATATTCGGAGACAAGATCGGACACTCGTTTACAAATGATGACAAAGTAGTAGAATATACAGCAGAACTCTGGTTCCTGCTTTCTCTATCAATAGCATTCAGTGTGTACTTTCAGGCATGTTCTTATATTATTTTATCGTGCATACTGATATATTAATTAGTTAAATGTTTATTCATATTTTTGCATGCTTGATTGATTAACAAAATTTGGACAACTGATATGAGATAAGTAGCCAAATTGAAAGATATAAAATTAATATTTCAGGAGTAGCAATAGGTGCAGGAAGGCAGAAACTGGTTGCCTACGTTAATATCTTCTGTTTTTATTTGGTTGGAATACCAATAGGGCTTCTATTGGGATATGTCCTGCATCTAAAAATAAATGTAATTATTTCTTTTACAATTTTTCGCTGACTTGAACTTTTATATATATATAAAATTGAACAACTACATTTCTTTTAAACATAAATATTTTTCGATTCAAATCATTAATTAGTTAAAACCTCAAATTATTGATAATATACAATACTTTATAATCACAAGTTTTGATTTTATTTATAACACTCTAAATTTTAAGAATTATCTACTTAAATCACTTTAATATGTGATTTGAATTTTTATATTTAGCTCAATAATTATATACTATTTTTTTTACGTAACTTAAATTTTATTTTTAATTTTTTTTGAGATCAAAAAATTAGAATAAATAATTGAGATTAGTGTTTTGATGGATTTGTCTATGGGATTTACAGGGAATATGGATGGGAATGCAACTCGGTGTTATATTGCAATCGTTAGTGTTGGGTTACATTACATGGACAACTGACTGGAGTGAGTAGGTATGTTGAAATTATTTTAATTAAAATATAATTAAAGTGATTAGAGATATGAATAAACTATTTTTTTATATGGTTAAATATATCTAATCTTAGTTTTTCGGGCATCAAATCGTGTAATGCCCAATAATTTTAGCATTTTTTATTATTATTTTTATTTTTATTTATTTTATTTATTTAATTTAATTTATAATTTTAAAAATAATAATAATAATAATAATAATAACAATAATTGTAAAATTGGGTAAAAATATTATCTAGATTTAATTGAAATTGATTTTGGGAAAAATATGTGAAAATTAGGGTTCTGGGGGTATTTTTGAAAAGAAAATCGGAAACCAGGGGTCAAAACACAATTTAAAAAAATTGTGCCCCGTCAGCGCCACGTCAGCGGCCCAGTCAGCAACCCTGGCCAACCAGGACCTGCCGCATGCCAAGACCACGTCGACCCGGGAACGGACCGCGTGGGCGATCCGCGTGCGCATGATCGGACGGCCCAGATGCGCCCCCGCGCGCACGGACGGCCCAGATTCAATCAAGAACGGACGGTCCAAATTTAATCAAAATGGACGGCTGTGATCAAAAGGCAAAAGGGTATAAATAAAACCCCCACACCTGACCACAAAAACCCTAGTCGCCTGCCCTAGACGAAGAAGACGAACCAGACGCCGGAGGAGCCGGCCGCCGCCACCCGCCGCCACACCGGGGAGTTTTCCGACTGCCGATCGAGGTAAATTTCATACCCCCGGCTCGTTTTTCAATGCTGAGTTCTCCTGTGGTCAAATCAGAGCCAAAATCCTGGCCAAACGGCCGGAAAACACGGTCGAAACCCAGCGGCACCGCCGCGTCCCTCCTCGGTTTTTACCTCCGATGAGGCCCTTCCCGGCCTACGTTTGATACAATTTTTATATCACCGTGATCACCATTCTTTTCTCTACAGGTTGATTGGAGCCAAATCACCAAAACACGAACCTCGCCGGAGAGCCGCCGCACCCGAGAGCACCGCCACCGGTAAGCTTCGGTTTTTCGTAAATTTTTGGCCCCCCGAGGGCCCTAGGGTTGTTTTATCACAGGGACCGATGCAAGTGTGGCCGAATTCGGCCGGAAACGGCCGAAAACGGCCACCCGAGGTGAATCGCCGCCGCTCGCCGGAGCACGGCGGAGCCGCCGTGCTGGAATTGCGATATTGGCCGAAAGGGGCCCTGGGTCTAATTTGGGATTTTATTTGGGACACGTGCAGGTACCAGTAGTGCGTTTCAGTTCCCTGGGAAAAATTCAGGAAAAATTAGGGACAGCCTGCAGGCGCACTGTAGAGCCGTATTCGGACCCCTCACCCTATTTCCTATCACGGTATTAAAGTTCAATAATGATAAAACGGTATTTCATGAATCAACAAATGTGTGAAATTGCTTAAGGTCGCTAATGGAGCCCGAGTCTGGTGTGTTTGTCGGTTAGCTGTTGTTTGGCCTATTTTACGGTTTTAAATGCAGTATGAGGTCTGATGTTTTCATTTCATAGTTTCGTGAGCATATATCACTGTTTTATTGATTACGGGTTAAATGACTGAGAACCCGATGTTGTATGTTGTCTGGTTTGGCATGAATTACTGGTTGCTTGTTTGTGTGTGACTTGATGATGCTGACTGAGGAAAAGGGGAATGAAAGGTTATGTAAATTGATAATTGTATAATGTGGTCAGCCTGACTAGATATCCTGGGAGATGGTGGACGGATCGAGTCCGTAGGGAACCCTACCGGGATTGTAGTCTCTCATACCGGACGAGGTATGGAGACCTTATGTGTTTTGGCGCCCATACCGAACGGGGTATGGGGACGGCCCGTTTCACCCTCATACCGGACGGAGTATTGAGGTCTATAGTTTTGGCGCCCATACCGGACGGGGTATGGGGACGGCCCTGGAATCTGATTACAATTGTTAAAGGTTCACGGGTAGCGGGACCCCTATGGATCCCCATGGATACTAGTAGGCTAGTAAATAAGAAAAAATATATTGTGTAATGATTGAGATGCAAAAGGCGTTATAAGTATTATGTTATACAGTTCCTATGATTTCATGATGATGATAATGTTATTGCTTTCGTATATTGTTTTATGAATTTCACCGAGGTAAGTGGATAGTAAAGGATTTTATTATTGATAAAAGAATTTGTTGTAAACTATGCTCCATTGGTCTTTTTGTGTTTTCTACCCACCTTTACCTCCGTGACGGTGAGATAGTGTGATGTCTTTACTGGGCTGGTGTAGCTCATTCCTTATTTAATCATTTCAGATCAGGAAGACATTGTTCCCGAGCCCGTTCCGCAGGAAGACGGCGAAGGGGACGCCTGAAGACTCCGTAGTCATATTTATAGCTTTTATTTTCGAGTTTATCTTTTAGTTAGTTTGTTCTTTTATACTTTGAGCACGTTTTTGGTTTTAGTGTAAGGGATGTTTAATCAAAATTTTTATTACGCTTCCGCATTTGACCTTTTAATACACATATTTCATTTTAAATTTCTGGGGCCGTTACAGTTGGTATCAGAGCCGCATTTCCTCGGACTCATCCCTTACACAATAGTGCCTCAGAGAAATACTCACCGATAGATCGTTACTCAACCATTTCTTGTGAATGCAAGTACACGGAAATGAGGAGAGGAAGGCCCCTACTAAACCGAGCGGCCCAAGATAATTCGCTTCGAGAGGATTTAGACAGACTATTTGAGATGGTGGAAGCTCTCGTAGCTGCCCAGCAAAGGCGAGAGGAGAGAAGGGAGTTACCCAGACCTCCTCCGCTATCGTAAGTTGAGCCCCCGCTACAGCAGGCTGATCCCGAGCCACCCCGGCAGGAGCTTGCTCCTCCACAGTACCACCCGGCACCACAGCCGCGGTACGACCCGGTACCACAGCCACGGTACCACCAGGCACCGCCACAGCACATTCCAATACCCCCACCACATCAGCAAGTGCCACCACAAGGCCCCCCAGTTCACCCTCAGCTGGCCCCAGTCCCTCTACCCCGGGATCCCGCTCCTTCCTTGATCGACCCCAGCTTCATAGAGAGGTACAGAAGACTGAACCCTTCTACTTTTGCAGGGGGATCCTCTTTTGAAGAGGCCCAATACTGGCTGGCAGAAACCGAGAGAGCTTTCGAGACCTTGGGAGTAGTTCCTGAGCAGAGGGCTGCCATTGCCTTCCTACATGCTGATAAGGGAAGCAGTACGCTGGTGGGAGCTCAAGCGGACCACCCTGCTCACACCAGCTACTTTGGGGAGCAGTTCTTAGCGGCTTCCACGCGGAGTATCTCCCTAACACATCCCACACCTGAAAAAAATGGAGTTTGCTCAATTGGTCTAGGGAAACATGACAGTGTCGGAGTATGCCTGTAAGTCCTGAAGCTGGGCCGATATGCCCCAGAGACATTGATGGATGAGGGCCGAAAGGTCAGGAAATTCCAGTGGGGTCTCCGCCCGGAGATCAAACAGCACTTACTGGTAATGGAGCTCGAGACATATTCAGCAGTCCTAGCAAAGACGCAGATCATAGAAAGGAGCTTCAACACCCACCCTCAACTAGCGGGGAGTTCCCGACCCTCAGCCCCGCTCCGCATGCCAGCACCTACCGCGCCTGTCCAACCCAGTAAGAGGCCCAAACCCGCCATCCAAGCCCCTCCTCAGGCTACGGGGGCAGCACGTGGGAAGATCTGCCAACACTGCGGCAGGGATCACGGGGACCGACCCTACTACCGCCTCAGCAACACCTATCGCATATGCGGCAGTGCCCAACACTATGCAAGGGAATGCCCGAGGAACCAGAATCAAAGAAGGCCTCCAATCCAGGGCAGAGTTTACAACCTTACCCAGAAGGATGCCGACGCAGACCCGGACGTGGTACATGGTATGTATACTATCTCTGGCCACATTGCTCATGTTTTGTTTGACACTGGTGCATCACATTCTTTTGTTTCACATGTTCTTGCTTCCAAAATTTGTGTATCACCTGATAGACTTGATTCATTATTGCTTGTATCTAGCGTTGGTGGGGAGACATTGCTAGGAGAGGTTATCTACAGGGCATGTGCCGTGGAGATAGCAGATAGGAAACTGAGGGTAGACCTGATAGAGTTAGACACGGGGGATTTTGATGTAATCCTAGGAATGGATTGGCTAGCGGCATACCACGCCACCATAGACTATTTTAACAAAAAGGTTGTATTTAATCCTCCCAATGAGGAGCCATTTACAAGTTAATAAAATCATTCAGTATTGATTTTCCCTGATGGCAAGTTTTCTTAATTCCCAGTGCTTTAATCTTATATTTTCTCTAACTAGGTAAACCCAAGAAAGAAGTTTGTATCCAAGAGATTCCAGTAGTCCGAGACTTTTCATACGTATTTCCGGATGAACTGCCCGGTCTACCAGTGGACAGAGAGGTCGAGTTCACCATAGACTTACAGCCAGGTACCCAGCCCATCTCGGTTGCTCCTTACTGAATGAGCCGCATTGAGATGGAAGAACTAAAGAAACAGATCACTGAGTTACAAGACAGTGGTTTCATTAGACACAACGTTTCCCCTTGGGGTGCTGGGGTTACTTTTGCAAGGAAAGGGAGATGGAACGTTGAGACTGTGCATTGATTACAGAGGGATAACAAGGTAACAATTAAGAACAAATATCCTCTTTCCCGGATTGATGACCTTTTAGATCAGTTGCAGGTGCACAAGTCTTTTCTAAAATAGATCTACGATCAGGTTACCATCAGGTAAAGGTAAGAACAGAAGACATCCCCAAGACGGCATTTCGAACCAGGTACGGACACTATGAGTTCCTGGTCATGCCGTTTGGGCTGACCAATGCCCGGGCCATCTTTATGGATCTAATGAACAGGATCTTCAGAGAGTTCTTGGATCAATTTATCATCGTGTTCATCAATGATATCTTAGTCTACTCAAAAAGTAGAGAAGAACATGTTCATCATCTTGCCCAAGTCCTACAGGTCCTCAGGAAAAAGAAGTTGTATGCAAAGTTGAGCAAGTGTGGATTCTGGCTCGAGCAAACCGCCTTCTTGGGACATGTTATATCGAAGGAAGGGGTATCAGTGAACCCCGAAAAGGTTGAAGCGGTACTTGGTTGGGAAAGGCTGACAACAGTTAAGGAAATTCGCAGCTTTTTGGGGATGGCAGGTTATTGCCGCCGGTTCGTCGAAGGGTTCTCTAGCCTAGCAGCTCCTCTAACCCGACTCACAAAGAAGAATGCAAAGTTTGAATGGAATGAGGACTGCAAAAGGAGTTTTTCAGAATTGAAGAAGTGACTGACTACTACACCCGTGCTGGCTCTACCGAGTGGATCAAGAAGGTATACAGTTTATAGTGATGCCTCCTATCTGGGCCTGGGTTGTGTCCTGATGCAGCATGGAAAGGTTATAGCATATGGGTCCAGACAGCTAAAGAATCATGAGAAGAACTATCCTACCCATGACTTGGAGCTTGCCGCAATCATACACGCCTTGAAAACCTGGCGCCATTATTTGTATGGAGAGACCTTTCAGATCTATACCGATCATAAGAGTTTGAAGCACATCTTCACTCAGAAGGATCTCAACATGCATTAGAGAAGGTGGATGGAACTCCTCAATGACTATGATTGTGATATCCTATACCATCCAGGTAAGGGCAATGTGGTAGCCGATGCCCTCAGCAAGAAAAGTGCAGGCACCCTAGCCCATTTAATGGTTTCAGAATGCAGGTCAATTGGGGCCACGCAGCAGGTTCGACTGCGAGATCTGAAGAGGGCCACATGTTTGGGCCACCTAGCAGTCCAACCTGAGCTAATCCAAAGAATAAAGGAAGCCCAGTCAGTCGACCCCGCCCTAGTAACCCGCAAGAAGGATGCAGAACAGGGAGTGAGTTCAGAATTTCAGATCTCTGCCGACGGATTGATTTGTTTCAAGGACAGAGTGTGTGTCCCAGACGACAGTGAGTTAAAAAGAGACATAATGACGGAGTCCCATAGTTCAAGGTTTGCCATGCATCCAGGAAGTACAAAAATGTACCAAACTATGCGACCTCGGTTCTGGTGGAATGGGATGAAGAGAGATATAGCTGATTTTGTATCTAAGTGTTTGGTATGTCAGCAGGTCAAAGTAGAACATCAACGCCCAGGTGGGTTACTTCAGCCTTTACCGATCCCAGAGTGGAAGTGGGAACATATCGCCATGGACTTCGTATTGGGACTACCCAAGGCACGATCAGGACATGATGCTATATGGGTAATTGTTGACCAACTCACTAAGTCTTCCCACTTCCTGGCCATCAGAATGACTGATTCTTTGGACAAGTTGGCAAGAATGTATATCCGGGAGATAGTCAGATTGCATGAAGTCCCAGTGATAGTGGTATCCGACAGGGACCCCAGATTCACTTCTCAGTTTTGGAATAGTTTCCAGCAAGCCATGGGAACAAAGTTGTCCCTCAGCACTGCTTTCCATCCTCAGACTGATGGACAATCAGAAAGAACAATTCGTATACTGGAAGATATGCTCCGAGCTTGTGCCCTTGACTCTGGGGGCCATTGGGACGACCATTT